CCGCCGCCACAAAGTGCCCAGCTAATTGAGCGGACAGATTGGCGGACCGTTTGATGTCTGCTGTCCGAAGCTTGGGGCCCCTCGACCAGCGACATACACGACGAGCAAGAGCCTCTCTGGCGCCACCTTTAAGTGCAGTGATCTTGACTCGAAATTGGATGTTCACGTGCGCCGTGCATGCTCGTACCCCTCACCTGTTGTGTGTGTGTGTGATTGGTGTTCCACTGAAGAAGGAGGAGCCCGACAGGGCTTATAACGGCGCCGCAGGGTGCAGGACGTCGCTCTGAACCAAGTAAAGGTTCAACCACCACGTTCGTAGTGTGTGAGGCTCTGAACCAAGTAAAGGTTCAACCACCACGTTCGTAGTTTGTGAAGGCTCTGAACCATGTAACGGTTTAACCACCACGCTCGTGGTTTGTGAACTCTTAACATCATGCTGTAAATATTTGTAAATAGTGCCATAAACCTGTTTGTTTTTTTGTATCCCCATCTTGTAAGCGCTCGTTTCCTCAACCCGAAGCTACACCACGCTACCACAGCACCCCGGGATCGCAACAACTGGTGATCAGCGGTGGGATCACGACAACCGTCACCACAAAGAAAGCACTGCCGTATACACAAACGGTCCATCTCGTAACGCTTTGCATAACGCAAACGACGCGCGCAACAGCTGCCCTACGAAGGGAGCATCGTATAACACACGGTTCCAAGAGTGCGTGGGGCATCTGCGTTCCTTTGTTTGTTTGAGAGACCAAATTGTAAGCAGCCAGTCCACAGTAATGACAAGTGTGAAATCTTTTTAGGAGGTGATAAGCAGACCAACTGCGCCAGTTCTGATTATGCCGACTGATCAAAGAACGCGACCGGATGAAACAAATAGAAAACGGATATAGATCTATCTATCAGGTTGGCCTTTGGACTGGAGTGACCACCGAAAGGCCGCGACTAAAGGCAACACGTTTCGCTACACTCTATCCGGTGCAGCGGACTGGAAGATTATTCGGGTACCGCTGAACCTGGCAACAGTTAAGCCCTATTTATTTCTTATTCGGAACTATGGCTTCTGACGGCAAAAGAAAGGGGTGTTCGCCAAGACACGGAGTGGCAGACACGAACAAACCCGAGACCGAAACATCGCGCTGGATGTTGGCACTCCATAGAGAAAGAGAGAAAGCAAAGGGTCGGAGGAGGGAGAGGGGTGTGGACAAGAACGGGCGGCAAGGCACCGACAGGCAGGCAACAAACAAGGATAACGGGACCGCGCGTAGGAGAGAGAGGAGGAAAGAGCAGACTGTTGTTGGCGGGAAAAATCCACGTGGTTGTTGGGTCGCGGAGAGGACCTACGAAAGAGAGAACGACGAGGGTTTGGGAAAAGAAGGACGGGGGAGGGCGCGCGCGCTCTGCGCGTGAGCCCGTGCTCACGTCTGGACGTCGATCCGATCGATGGGTGCGCGCGCCACGCTACGCCGGGACTCGACCCACGGCTCGGGCTGCGGGGGGGAGTCAGCCGCTGCCGGTCGTCCGCGAGCTCCTTCTTGAGTGGCGCGCGCGCTACGTCAGACTCCACGCGCCAAGCAACACACACATACACGCGCGCTGCGCATGCGTCGAGGTCGATCGGTCTCCTCTTTCTCCTCTACCCGGCGCAGCCTTCAACCGTTGTTGTCTTGCCATGCTCCTCTCTCTCCTTCGGTAAAACTCCGCGGCGAGTTTTCCCCGACTTGACTCAAACTTCGCCCGTCTTTTTCCTCTCACCCTCTATCTATCCTCCGAACCTCCGCGTTCGAACTATCTATCTATCCTCCGAACCTCCCGTCACCTCGATCTTCTCACACTCTCTCGTTCAGTCTCACTTTCTCTCTCCTGTCTCTCGCGAGATCTCGTCAAAACCTCACCCTTTCTTCTTCGGAGGAGGACGAGAGATGAAGAGAAGGAGGTCGATGAAGGAAGTTTGACGCGCCGGACCGAGGGATTGCGAGCGAACGAAGGTAAAGCAATCACACGCACGCCAGCAGGGGAGACCGAGGGTGAGGCAACGTCTATGCAAATCCAAGAGGAGGGCGCCGGGCACTTCGAATAGGTATTCGAGTCAAGAGGAGGGAGAGGGCTTCAGACAAAAGCAGGCGACCGATGCGAGAGGGTTGCATGAAGTCTCTCCACCCCGTTATTCTGCTCCCCCCATCTCTCCCCCGTGACTAGAGTTGGTAGTGCGCGCGCGACCTTCTTTGCCTGCCAACTTTTTTTTTTATTTCCCGTGTTTCTTTATATATCTGGTTATCGCCGCTATACCTCTCTGCCTCTCTCAATCGCAAGCCCTTGCGGTGACTTTCGGAATCTCTTCGCTATTTCTGTTTCGGTTGTTGAGAACTTTCAGGTATTTACTCTTCGAGCGGTGGGTGTTCCGATTCTGGCCACCTTCGACCCCATGCCATCTTATTTTTTTCCCCTTGTATATCTGCTCCTGTTTATCTGTCTTGCATAGTATAATGCTCACCATGCTGAAGACAGTGTTCGCCCCAGCACCGATCTCATTAAAAAAGAAGAAGAAGAAAAGGGCATATTTCGTCTCCCTTGGCGTCATCCCCGGAGTGTCCAGCCAATCGCAGCGCAGAGCCTATCGTAGGCAAGGATTGGGCGGTAATACAAATTCTCCGAAAATGTAACGATTTACGTCGTTGCCACCATCACGAACTGCCACATCCATTACGCGGTGTCGACGGTGATTTGCTAATCGTGTTAATGCCCGATTGAGAAGCTAAGTTCAACAGTGACTGACTCGCTCCTTCGTAAAGAAGCTAATCGTAATCGAAACCTCGATCCGGGTTGGGCCCGATCACGATAAAATTGATCGTGCGCCAAAGTTATTACAGTGGGCCGCTATGAGATGACGACTAAGTACGGATTATCCAGCACCACACCCGGTATATCATAGCGAGCGTTGGTTTAGTCGCAAACAATTAAATTCAGTACGACTAGAAAGTTGGAAACCGGATACCCAGGTTTTGCAACCCTTGGGTACCCACGCTGTTTTCGAAAGGCAGGGTGCTTGCCCAAAAACGTTAGCGTTCCATGTACGCACAAAGGTCACAACGCGAGGACACCATGTACGCACAACATTTGCGTGCGCATTTTCAAAGCTCTCCATTAAACTAACCCCCGTATTAAGAAACGCTCCTTGACTTGAAATTGACTTGAAACCGAAACCGGCTTCAATGCAGCGCGTCTGTGCTGCCTTGGCATCGCTTAAAAACAGCGCGTTCGAGACGCCTTTGTGCTGCATTGAAGCCGGTGGCAAGTCAAGTTCAAGTCAAGCAGCGTTTCTGAATGCGGTGGTAACTCAACAGTACTCGCCCGTGGTCAAGTGATTGACAGATGTGACGTCATCGTCATCCGGCCTATAAAAGAACGCGACGCCATGTGATTAGGCATAATATTTAGCCAAGCACCAGCGACGGTGGTCTGTTGGAGAAGGCAATGAATCGGCTGCACCGGCCGCAATATTGATGGAGGCGAAAATACTTGAGGCCCGTGTGCTTACATTTAGGTGCACGTTAAATAACCCTGGGTGGTTGAAATTTCCGGAGCTTTCCACTATGGCGTCTCTCATAATCATATGGTGGTTTTGGCACGTTAAACCCGAACATTTACAATTAATTTAGTCAGGTACGAACGAATCGGCGATGTGTGTTTTCAGGAGAGATCGCCGATGAAGTAAAATGTTTGTGGAAGCACCGACGGTGTGACGAAGACGAACTAAAACCCACAATACGGTTCGAGCAAGAAAAAACAAACAAACAAGAAAGACGCATAAATGCAGTCAACCACTGCACGGGATCTTAAAATTGTTCCGATTTCCAATTGGTTGACAACAATAAGCTTCACTATTAAGACAATAAGACAACGAACGCGCACACTGTACTAATCAGCGCCGCAATATGCGAAGGAACGACACAGCGGTTGATAACGTATGATATCGCGAAGTTGTGTTATCGCATTTCTGACGTCAACCCTGTGTCACGACCCGGCCTGGTGGGAGCGTTCACTACGAAGGAATAAAGGGGGGAATGAAACTAATATCAAGACCGTTATAGAGGGAATTAAACTACAATCAACGCCGCTCATAAAATAAATGTTCCCCGCCAAGTGAGCTTGTTCGCCGGACTAAATGTTGCAACAATGGGTGAGACAAAAAAAAAAAATGTTGAGGAGGCTGTTACCACGCTTTAAAGCTCTCTTTCAAGGTAATAGATTGGCAGGCGTCAGACATTGAAGTTGAACGAAGACAATGCAGTGGTGATAAGCGTGTCCTATTGAATCAGACCGCAAGAAGTAGCCATTGTAAAGCCAATCTATCAGCACTGATTTACCAGTAAGCACTACCGCTGAATTCAGTCTTATATAGCCATTTATCAGTAATTAATTTTTCTGTGTGTAAGTAGAGCCGTTTTCAGTGCCGTGTTTTACTATTGATCATATCACATTCTGTAACAGAGGATGGGTGGGGGTCACAACCTTCATTCAAACGCGTTTAAGTGTCCTCGATAGTGTATAGTACGCGCAATGTTGACCACATGAAAATACGAGATATAGGGGGGGGGGGTGGAATAAATGGGGATGGTGGTTTGGCGCGGGTAACAGCGCTACGTAGCGGTGAAGCAGCGTGGGTCCGGAATAGAGAGGCTTCGCAGATTTCGTAAAAATAACCAGTCTTGCTCGCGAAGATTTCCCAATCACGCGCTAGGCTGCCAATCTCCATAGCAGCGCTCCAAACGATCTTGGCCAAAGAAACACACACACCTTTCCCAACAAGCTCAGCGCGCCGATACGCCTCAGAGAGCACGCGAGCAGACGACGGAAGTGAACGTTTTCTTTGTCGTCTGCTGGAAAAAAAATGGCCGCTAGGTGCGCGCGCGTAGCCGTGCCGCTCGCTTTGCGCTTGAAAATAAAATAAAATAAAGACTACAAAGTCGTAGCGTTATGCGGAAAAACTTGCCACCAACCTTGTCGACCACGCAACGCCAGCCGTCGTCTAGCGTAGCCGAGACGGCTTCAATCTCCCTGCAACAGCGTACAAATTCGTCCCATTCCAACATTTTTTAGCGTGCTGCTCTTTTTTTCATTCAGGCAGACGAACAGGATGTGACGTCATGGGCTTGACCACTTTTTGCAAGTGGGGAAGAGGGGTGAAAACCGGGAGGTTTTTGCAGTTGGGTAGTGCGCTGTCGGTTGCGTTGTTTATTCCCGACTGATGCCACGACCTACACGTGAAACGGGAGGGAAAAGAAACAAGAAGGAATTCGTCAGAGTCACAGTTCAGCGGACGAACCGCACACATCGCTGCGTTTAAAAAATATGGCACCACCGACACCAATGCAACGCGAAATGAACCAAATATGTAGCGCACGATTATGCTCATTAACGTGTTCCTATGTTAAACAGGTGCCCCAAAGAAGCGCTTTTATGCAACGAGAGTGAAGCGCCACAACTCCGAAGGCCTTTTTCTGAACAGCAATGGCACATGGTTACCTGCTTAGCCCTAGCAAAACAAGAAATGCTACTGCGAAGGCAGCGCTGCTAGGGCAGCGAAACAAGCCTGGAATCGCCGGAGCCGCGAGTGCGAATAGCTACGTCGCTGGCCCAACTTTTCTCTCGCCGCTGTTCCGTCAAGTGGAAGCAGCCCCCGCAAACCAATAAAGTTCACGGCCGCGTTTTGTTTTTGTCACAACTTTCTGGTGAGATACAAAACTTCTTTAATTTATAATTGCGTGAGATCAGAAACTATAGAGCCTGCAGTGAGAAAAATGGTTAAACCTTGCGTTTACTGCTGGCCTCAAATACGTTTTTGCAAGATGGTGGTCGGTAATGACGCCGCAACGACCAATGGCAGCACCGACGCGCGTGACGTCACGCACATGCCCAGGGGGAGCCCGTGCATGCTGGGGGGTGAGCCCAATCACAAGGCAGTCTTTGACAGATCAATTGATGTTTCTATGGTAACATGGTCGGTGTCGTCCTGAATGTCGTGACAGGTGTGTGACTGTTCAAATCCACAGTATGTACGCGAAAGGAAAAGGCTCAACAGTACCTTCGGATGCTCAAGCACGGGAAAAGTAAGTGAGACCGAGTTCACACCGTAGCCGCCGCGGCGGCAACCATGTTCGATTCCGAGTGCCCGTGCCGGCAAAAACTCGGCGCGACCCGGCGGCACGCTTGCCGCGTCTCGGAGGGCCATCCCCTGTGCTGGCCGGCGAAAGCGATCGCGTTTTCTCGCGATCAACGCGCGGGGCTCTTGCGTACTTTTTTTTTACGCAAGGAGCCCCCGATGATCGGGACCCGTGTTTTGAACGAGCGAGTCCGCGGATGAGGCCGAGTGAAAAAAGAGATAAAAAAGGCGAGTACGCCGCCGCGTTTTCCCGACGCGGATTGCTCCGTAGGCCTCGGGCATATGGGCGGACCGCCTCCATTCCAGAGAACAAGGGGGGAGAGGGTGTTTCATGGCGGCTGACGCGATGATCGGCTGCTCGGAATGCTTCGAGTAACCGATGTTTCTATTCTGTTCCCTGTCGCAGGCTAGCGCTGTACGTCTACGAATACTTACTACACGTCGGCGCCCAGAAAGCCGCACAGACGTTCCTATCAGAGGTGAGATGCGTGCTTCCGTTTTTCTCTTCTTTTTTTCCCTCTTCTGCGCTTTTCTTTTTGTGTTGTTTTCGCCGCCGCGGCCCGCTTGGCTCGCGGCTTCATGGGTGATCGCTTGGTCGCGCCTGGAGCGTGGCGCGAGCGGCGTCCGTCGACGACGGTGCGCGTAGCGCGCGCCTGCATTTTCGCGAGCGGTCTCTGGGCCGCTCGGGGAAGGAACGGTTTTGCTCGGCTGAATCTGCGACGCCCGGTTTTCCACTGCTGCCACCGTCGTGATGTGTCCCCGCCTGCGAAACTGTTTGTGTGCCCGTGTGTGTGCGTGCGTGCGACGGACTGAACTGTGCGCGATCGGCGACAGCAGCGACTGCCATCATCAAGAACGTGTGAAAAAGTGTAAAAGCAAAAAAAAAAAAACACCCGTTTATTTGTTACGCAAGAATAAAAACGCTACAGAATGTTCAAAGCGAGTGATCGGGGGCGATGCCTTTGCGTACGCAGCGGCCAGCCGTTGCTGCGTTCCACCGGCGCTGACGAAAAATAAAGCAGCTGCCGCGGGAGGAGCGGGTGTGCATGCGTTTTTCAAGTAAACGAATAATCATAAAATAGATCTAAAAGAAACTGGCGAAGCGTAGCAACCAGACACAAAGCGAAAGTCTTGTAACCTGCGCCGAGGCGATCCCTTTGGCGGTCGCTTACTAGCAGGTTGCTTCGCCGGTGCGTTTCGTTTTACACACGACGGACTAAAAGAACCTTGGGATCTCGCGGTTACACGCCGAGCCCTCGGAAGGTCACCGATGTTTGTTGATTGGAACACCTCCCCATGCTGGTCCTCGGAATTGGCGTTCTCTATTTCTCTCTCTCTCCTTTTTTTTTGCTCGTTTTAATATCGCGCAAGACGCGCGTGTCATACTCTTCGTTTACCGAGGCCACCACCTCGTATGCTGGCTCGATGGAGGACAAAAATGCCCCGAACGAATACGCACCAGCCTCTCTCGCACGTTGCCTCATTCGGCTCGTGTAATATTGACACATACACCTTAGTGCAGCGGCCGCCAGGTGCGTTGTCGGTGACCTCTCGCCGACAGCTCCCCGTCAACGATAGAATTGCCTACAATATTTACTAGACTCAACTGTGGCGCTGAGGTGTTTCAGCCACCATGGGAATGATGGGTACTGCACGAATTTGCACAGTTTTTGTGTTTGCGCCTAATGTTTAGGATAAAATACTGGCTCGCAGCAAAACCCAAAGAGGGAAGTCGATTATTTGGGACTGCAGAATTTTTGCTAAACTTCGTCTTGCGACAAAGCTGATTGCAGGTCGTATGTAGCCGAAAGAATGAAGCTTAGGCAAATGTGTCTACTGCCCATCATTTCCATGCTAGTTGAAGGCACCTTGCATGGCAGCTCGCATAAGCACTAGCGCCAGCTTTCCTTCGAATGCACTCTTATAAAACTATATGCTATTAACAAGGTGTAACATTGAACGTCGTAGTCGGCGATTCCGCCTTTGAGGTCCTGACAAACAGCTTTTTCGTTTGATTGCGAGGCTGGGTTTCCGGCCCTCCTTATCAGAGAGCGTTATCATCGTGCTACCTTGCTGACCTGCCCTTAATGGCTAGGCCAAAGCTCTTTTCAGGGCTTCTGGCAGAGTTTTTGTGGAACCTATGATTTGTGATACCCATTATCTGTTTTTGGTCAGGTCCTAGAGGTTTCTGTCACAAGACAAGTAGTTTTTATACATCCTAACAATGCAAAGCAACATTCACAAGAGGGACATACATCTGAAGATGAGTGCTAGACCCGTTTCTTTCTTCATTGTGGGGGTAGTTGCTTTGCAATGTTAAGGTGTAAAAGTCTTGTTACCACCATGTAACCCAGATTTGTGCATTTAATTGTGATGGACTGACATAATGAGCACAAGCCTTCGTGCAAACATCCTTGCCGACGAATCCGGTGCGTGTGTTTCGTTCTTCAGTTGTCTTGATGTGTTTAATGGGATCTCACAAGCTCTTGCTGTCTGCTTACATAGCACAGCATTAGAATATGCAATCGCAGGTGTATATTTGCATGCGTGTCCTCCGTTTCGAAAAGCATGCGTTGAAAGTGTGATTTATGGAAGTGTGGGTCAAAATTTCAGCTTCTGGTTCCTCCCTAGCTCAAAGTATTTGCCACTGTAGTTCATCAGTGCAACTTATTTTGAAATGGCAAGCTCGAAACTTCTGCTAAATAGACCCCGGATTCCTTCGAAAGCGGCTTGACTCTTACATGCTCATTATATTGTTTTGCTATAGTGCAGCTCGGTTTGAGCATGAAGGAACGACGCAATAATGATTTGACATCATAATGAACCACTTGGCCCAATCTGCAGTTCTCGCATGTTCGTCGTTGCTTGACCATTGTTGCTATCATTCCCAAAAGGGATTAGGGATGAGCAGGATTAGAAGCTAGCTAGGATATGTCATGTGTTCTGACGAGCTCACTTTGAGTGAATACGAGAAAGGCTGTCACCTTAAGTAAGCGGGTATATTGAGCACTGTTGTTTGCACGTTATTGTGAAAGTTGTGTCAGAAATACACGAGAGGCATTTGTAAGAGACATGGGTGTGGACCGATAACTGTGCCATGTACAAAAACACTGCATGTTTGGGGGTAATTAGGGCTGAAAGGTGACTTTCGGAATGTCGTCCATGCTGCGTGGTCGATATGTTTCTAAAAAGCTTCCACTTGACATTTAAAGGTACCTGCCGCAATCCGTTCTCGACATTCTCGAAGAGAAGATTCCGATAAAATCATTCTTTAAATTTTCTATGACTAGATAATAGATTAGTGGTCATTGCTTGAAAACATGTTTAAAAATGTTTACAAAAAACTTGTTTATGATATCATCACTGTGCTTGACATGCCCACAGATGAGCATTACAGCATTGATATTGGGCCTTGCTGTGCTATCTTACAGTTGCTGGAAATTTTCTCGCCTTATGTTGCTTTAATGTAGTCAGGCACAACTTAAAAATCTACTAGGCCTGCCCAGGTAATGGTAGGACGGTTGCCTCGAGACTAAAGAATTCGGCTCATGCACTCTGCAATGTTCTGTGAAGGCCTGGCCATGATGCGAATCTGGAGTGTGCATTCTCCTTTGAAGAGGAACTTGTGAAGCCTTCTAAACTTATATCCGATTTCATTGGAATACCAGGCCTGCCTTAGTGGTGGTGTTGTACTGGCTAATAAGCGTGATGCAGGTTCAACTCCTGGTCACGGTTTCAATGGTTAAGAAGTGTCAGAGAACACTTGCGTGCTTAGATTCAGGTGCATGTTAAAGAGCACCATGGCGTCAAATTAAATGAGTGCTTACACGAAATTCTGAGGATGAGCTAACTTGTGGGATCGATTAGTGTGGGCGCACTCTTGTCATCTACGAAATGTGAACTAATAATACAGCCTAGGTCGTACTTAAAATAAATTATAAAGTGTGTGTCGTGCCACTGCATATGACGCGCTTCTTTTGTCTTCATGTAAACAACCAACTGCCACCTGTGTTGATAGCGACTTGTCTCGGCAGTGCTAATTAGAGGAGGTGGTCACACATATTTGCAACATCCCAGCTGGGATTATGGTTGCACACGCTTTTGCTAAAAAGGATTCTCTGCTCGGCGTTCCTGCGATCTCAATGTCGTGTGCTCATGTAGCCAGCTCTGTCAACTCGAAAATCGTTCTAAGGATGTCTCACTAGGTGATTTCGGAAAACAAAACTGCAACTGGGCTCTCAGGAACAGTCTAGGAAAATTTAACCATCGCACGCTCACGCCTACGAGGTTTGCAGCAATTGCAAGTGGATTGTTTGGTACTTACTTCAACTAAAAACAAGTCATAAAATTTTTGTGTCAGGTCAGTACTCTTAATTCCCCTCTGTATAATACTTTGGTGTTTGTGCAACTTTAGCTTGCAAAAAAAAAAACACCTTTCTTTTCTAGAGTAAATTCACTGCCGAAAAGCCGGTTTGCTGGCCTTGAAAGCTGGCCAATTTTACGTAATATCTGGCTCAACAGACAGGCGGACGTAAATGAAACCAGATGACACGAGCGCTGCAGGGGGAAGCTCTTTTGCCTGTGCCTGTTTGCACTGTTGAGCAGTGAATGTTATGCAATGTACATTTTTCTCTGTGTATTCAGTATATTACGCAATATGTACAGTAGGTTTTTTTTTAGGATTTTGCATGTTTTGTGGCAGACGAGAAAGGTTCTCCTCGATCAAGATAAATCTTGGGCGTCTATAAAGTGGTTCAGCTGCCATGGGGGTTTTCATTGTTGTATCTGGTGGCACAAAAGGCTTGTAGTGATGCTCAGTCTGGTCTGTTCAATTTTCTGTCTGTATGCTGGTAGCATAAGGGCTGCGATACTGCTCGTGGTCAGTGTGAAATCGTAGGCGAAAAACAGCATGTGAATAACGTTTGTGGGCGACTGACGGCCGCATTGGAGGTGGGTGTTTTGCCATGCAGTATCTTCTCTGCATTCAAATTTAAAGCTATGTTGCACCCTCTAGGCTTCCTAGGAGGCCGCTGTTTGTGTGAGGAGTTTTTGTGAAAGGACAGCAAAATTTCGCATCATGCATATGTGTAATAACTGTTGTCGTTTAACGTCGCAAAACCACAATGTGATGGAGAGACATACTGTAGGACTCCGAAAATTTTGACTGCACAAGTCATTTGCGTTGCACCCAAATCTAAGCACACGGGCCTCAATCATTTTAGACTATGAAAAAAGTGGTCGTCGTCGCCTGCATTTGATTTCAAGACCTTCGTGTCAGTCGTCAAGCACCCTAACCATGAGATCATCGTTGTGGCTTATGTACATGCATAAAGCTGACTGTGCACGGCGTTCATAGCGGTCCTCGAGGCATGTCGATATTGAGCTTCATCGATTTAGCTAGTACCGTATCACTCACCGGCGGCTCGTGGACGCCTCGGCTCATAGGCGGCTACGTCACATCCAAGTGATCTAAAAGTCA